GAAGCCTCCCCACAATAGAACCTTTACAAACCTGTATCTGTCATTCCCACATCAGATATCTTACACATAGGAACTTCGATTTCCAGACCAGAACCTTAAAACTTTTCATTTCCATACCATAATATAGAATTTCTCCATCAGAACTTATAATTTCCACGTAGGATATCTTATTTTTACATTATACCTTTTCTGTGTTGGAATATTTTGGTCCCTTCATCAGAACCTTTCTACAACTGAAACTTTTAATACTGAATTCTGTCCTTCGAGTTTGGTTTACTGCATATACTGACTGGGACTTAATTACGTGTACATCATGCTTTATGATAATTTATGATGTTTCTGTACGTACCCTGTAATGTCCTGTGAAAACAACTTGAATTGTAACAGCCTAATTATTTTAACAACTAAATGACTTTTCAGTACGTGTACCGAACTCTAAAAATGAAGTTTAGCCTGACTAAAGGAAACTGTTCAGTTGAATGGCTAGTGTTTTTAGGTCCAGCAAGCATTAGTTAATCCAGTTGTCCCATTATCTAGCCAGTGGTGTGGGGGGACATGCTGACCTTTTTCTATGCAAAACTGTCCACGTAATATACCCACAATCCAGCCTATTTTGCTGGAAAACAAAGGTGGCTAACTTATCACGATTACAATATAAACTAATCAAATTTAAGCCATGTTTAGGCAAAACAATAAAATGTACGTTTCCTTCACCATAAAACTTCCTTGATAAAATAGCAAATAGACTGTTTGACAGTACATGTATTCATTATTTGACAAAAAATGAACTTGTGATCAGATTCTTGATATTAAAAATAGCAATGTGAGGTTGAGATTTGATGATCCATCTTACACAATGAATTTGGCAAAGTTTTTGTACAGCTCTAAAACATCAATCTGTACTTACACATTGTGGGGTTCATCAAAGGCCACAATAGAATGATCTGTTATGGCATTACCATGACACATGAATATCAAAACGTATAACCAACAATAAACTTAAATATTGGACCAAACTGACAATCAAAATCTGTGTACATCTTAATTCCACAATTAGACATTGTTAATTATTGCTATGTGACAGGTTAACACACATAACTTAACCAGTGCTTAATTAAGTCTATTGGTTATACAACGGAAAAACAGCGTGCATCACAATACATATGCATTATTGTAATAAAAAGAATTAATGCGACAACCAGGATTCATTGCCAATTTTTTTGTAAAAGAATGATTTAAAAATAGCAGGATTTTATTATGAGAATTTTATGAACCAAAACCTGATCTTTGTATAATCATTGGAAACATGTAAAATATGACACCTTGACATTTATAAATTACAAATGACAACACGGCTAGACTGTACTTGGAAAAAGTTGTTACAGTCCACTCAAACAATTGCAGTCGCATGATTTCGATAAGGTTTGTATCTGAAATCTGAGATACTAAACTTTTAAAACTATCAAATCAGCTTGAATAAAATTATGTTTCTCATATGAAATGATACAAACCTTGATGTAGGAGAAAAGACCAATAGTCAACATGGTTATCTCCCCTTGTGGAGTAAACTTATCTCCCTTTATGGAGTAAACTTATCTCCCTTTGTGGAGTAAACATTATCTCCCTTTGTGGAGTAACATTATCTCCCTGTGTGGAGTAACATTATCTCCCTTTGTGGAGTAAACTTATCTCCCTTTGTAGATCTGAAGGCTTTGTTGAGTAAACACTACATAATACAAGGTATACAGTACAAGTGTAACTTTTGCTGTGAAATCAATGTTTGATATAATCTTTTCAGAAGGCGAGGAGGCATTCACCTAGTACAGTTATACACATATTACCTGGTATGTATTTTGTGACCTTAGTCTAGTTTAAATTCTGGACATATTACTCAAAGTTACTTGTACTTTTGTTGATATAACCTTAAATTAACACTACACCTGATGCAAAATGAAAATCAACCAAAGTTTTGAATTAATTTTCAGCTTACAGCTACAAAGTATGTCTCATGTTAGAACTAGAAAATATACACTGTGTATTTTGCAATTAACTGACCATATGTTATTTGAAAAACATGCCAAGAAATATTGGTGGTGGAGTGAGATTGACAGGTTTAAATGTCATTGTTTTATAGAACTTTATAACAAATGATACTCTGATTTCAAACCCACCCTCAATCCTAGTATTTGCTAATGTAGCCATTTCCAAAGTAACTGGCACTAACAAAAGATTAATAAAAAATTGCTAATTGGTATTCTGAACCAGTTACCTCGGTAACATTTAAATATATAATAACTGGATGACATACAAAAATTATCATACACTTAAACACCTTCAACTTTACAAACATAAGTTGATGACTTACAATAATCTTAAGCTGTTATAAAACCAATTATTTTATCGAAAATAAAATCTCATAAATTTTCTTTTATACTAAATAAAGCATGTTTTACAAATAAAATTTAGTTACAGAAAATTCTATATTAGACTAAACGTTTGTATGGCACTTGGATTGTTTACAGTGTTATTCCCTTTTAAAATAAACCACAATGAAACCATATCTATTTTATATAGAACTATTTACACTTATTTCCTGGAATGAATGATCAATTGTGAAAGTGTTTTGGACAAACAGGAGAAAGTTACATTTGTAAGGCTTGATTACATTGTCAGTAATTAATGTTAAGTTAAAGATGATGAATGATTCTACTGTTAGAGTCTAATTAATACAAGGATTGTCCACCACAAATAAACATGTAAAAATAAATATTGTAAACTTTTATGGATTTCATACGGTGAATTCTAGCCCGAGTTTTCTCTGGCCCTGATACCAGACTTAGACATTTCGACAGATATATGTCTGGTGTGGGACATCTATCTGTCAAAATGTTTAAGTCTGTTGTCAGGGCAAAAGGAAACACGGCCTAGTTGAATTCTAACTTACAATATTTCTTAACATAGTTAAACTAGCAATCCCTGGATGGAGGTTGTAATCATTAACAATCTTGTAATCGTAAGCATTGCACATGTTTCACATTCAAATCAAATATAAATATCATAAATGAAACTATGCAACAACTAAACAATTTTTTAAGATACAAACAACTTGATTTCAGTTCCAATTTCAATTTACAAATTGGGAACAAGGCTTAAAATTGAATGATATATATATTTTTTAAATTCAGTTTTCATTTTTAGAAAATCAAATGGTTCATGAAATTACTTGACAAATTTTGCCATCAAAAGTACATTCCTTCACATACATTGCATGACAATGGAATAAGGTAGCTACCGTACATATAGCTTTTATGAGTCTTTATAATTTTTCACTTTTTTGTACTTCTTACCTAATTTATCTGACAATTGGTCAATGCCTGATTGTAATAAGCCCACCCAAATCTATTGCATTTCAGTAGATGCTTTTTCATTGTCCTGCTATAAGCCCATCCCCCAAGAGATGATACGTTTGCCCCTGGGATGATCGCAGGATACCGATACACAGCACTGATTTTTTTTGCCCAGTTTTTATGCCAAAAGTTACATTACATGCGGTTTGGAGAATCATTACATGGATGAATTCAACACTGGACAATACTGCCATAACAAGCTGAAAGGAGTACATTTTGCAAGGCAAAAACATTAGATAATATTTCCCAGATAAACTCTCACCGTCAAAGCATTTCTAATGGGAATCTGCTTTTTAGCATTGCAATTCTGAGAAATGCATTCGCTGGAACTTATTATATGGAGGTAAATTTGAGGACAAAAAATGCATTGTAAACTGATCCTTAATTTTAAAACAAAACAAAATATTTTTTGGACATTTTGTACTTCTACTTCTAAATGGTACTGACCAACTTCAACAATTTGAAGATAAAATGTCAGACGAGGCGTGAAACATGGAAAGAGATTGTTTTTAAAAGATACGAGATGGTCTAATTTGCGTTTGAAAAGTGACGTTAGAGGGCTGATTTGAATAATTCCGTTGTGGGACTCGAAATAATGTCGGGGGGGAGTTTATTCCACTCGGGTATAGTTCGAGGGAAGAATGATGCCTTTCTGGTCTGGGTTTTTGAGTGGGGAATTTGATACGAAAACTGGTGGTTTGTGCGGGATTTTCTAACTGTAGGGATTAATCTGTCTGATTTTCGATAGCGACTTTCTGGTTTACAATGTTATGAAGCATGGTCAGACGAGCATCTCTACGTCTATCTGCTAGAGGGCGCAGCTTTAGGTGGTCCAACATTTCTGACACACTGGAGGTACGAATATTATTGGTTCATAATTTTACAATACTGATACTACAAAATTAGAAATATAATACTGACTCTACAAACACAGTTTAGCCATGTTAATTCAGCCACCACAAATTCAGTTATCCCATCATCCAGCACATGTTTATAACCAACAAATTAACCTCATTTCTTTGCAAAATAATTCCAGAAACTTTGCTTTCTGATAATCCAGTCGTTTTAGCTAGGAACGACGGTGGCTGGATTACCTACCGAGATAGATTGATAGCAATATGGTTCTAAATTGAGAAGAAAGGGCTTTATACATACAACACCTGGCAATGATTGACTAGACACATCAATGACAGATGGAAGATAATACAGTCAGCAGTTACAAGGAGACAGACGACTCATCAGAACATGGTGGAAAAAATATGTACAGAAACAAAGGCCATGTACAAGTTACCAGGCATGTCATCCTTACTCCAACATGGTAAGGACCAGTGTTTAACATCATAACATTCAGTTCTAGTCCCTGGTGTTCTAGGTATAAAACAGTATATTGTAGAGAATAAATAATACTCTTCATTAGCAATAAGCACTTAGAATGCCATCTTTTAACTTCTTGTGACAGGTTAAACCATGCTTACTCACGATTCCTACAGATTTCACTGTAGATGTTATCCATCAACTAGACACTCAGATTAATTTATCAGATGTAAAATAATGTGATAATACTGCTTTTTACAGTTAAAAGGCAAGATATGATTCAGTAGTTATGTGTGGGAGAAAAGCAATCAAACAGCCCTGTGTGATATGAGCAGATAAATATAATCTTTATTTTTTCTGAGGGCTAGACACCTTAACCCGATGGTTGAAATGTTTCTGTCTCACTCTCATGTTTGGGTAATGATTACTTTTTGTCCCACATAAGATACAAGTGGTAATTTCAAGAAAGGCAAACATTTATTTCATAAGTTCCAGTAGATTGGAGTTGCATTGTTGACGTGACGTCATGCAATCGTTATGACAGGTGTATCCCTTTTTTTTAGTAGATAGTAAGGTTTAAACCAAATTATATCCACATATCAGCTTGCCCACCAAATTAAACACTGACGTTCCCTGGGATACCAAGTCATAGAGAGACATCGCCTGGGATGTTAAATGTGAAAACAGTAATGTTTACAGGTCTATGATTTATCTCCTATCTGCCATGCTTTCCTATGTGATTCTGAGATGCCTCAACTTCAAATGAATGTTCTATTTTTTTTGACATGTGTTTCTTGTGTGAATCTGTTGTCTCAGAAAAATCCCAATTCCAAGAGTAACATGATTAAATATGGAGTCTGAGGTCCTGCAGAGAAACAGAGACAGTTTATAAACTTATTGGCTGAAGAATTGAGATATTCTGTCTCGCTCTTAAAGTTGAAGTATAGAATGATTATTTTACTCCCGTCCCTTGAAAGGTATTTCTTTGGCATGAACGAATATTTAATCTATGCCAACCACACAGCTATGTCATCTGATCATAAAAATCACTCAACCATATGCATTGTGAAGTTATAATTACAGCTGCTTTGTTTCAGGTGTGTATCTGGTCTACACTCCAGGTTGTAGACAGAGAAACCTTGTACAGAGATACTGTAAATACATGTGTCTGAGGCGGCAGAGATCACTTCCATCCTTAGGGGTGTCTTACGGCCAAATACACGATCATCACCTCTCCTGTGTCTCTTGTAATGTCTCTCTGTCTACAGGAAACATAATCACAGTCCCCGTTATTTAGAGGAGACTTCTCCGACTGTCTCCTCTGGTCTTCGTATCTAAAGTAGGAATATCTGTGTCTCTTGTAGGAGTTTCCTGCCTCAGCACCAAGAAAAGAACGGTGCTCTGTGGGAGAAGCTCTGTGTGAATGTCTCACTCTCTGTGCGAGACCGCCCATTCCCAGATTTGTTCCGTTCTACAGTAACAACAGGCATCTGTACCAGCTGTACTGGTGACTTCTTGTCCTTCAAGGCTTGTGTAAGATTAAGTATCTGTAACAAACACGCAATTCATTTAATTGCTTGTAAACCTTTAATTAAACCATTCCATAAACAATCTAACTGCTAAGAATGAAAATTACTATTTTATTTAGCCATGAATTCATGTATTATTATTTTGTTGTTTTGCTGAACAATAGGCATTAGAGCAGACATGAATTTGAGATTTTGATATTGTTTGGTTTATATATGAATATTTTTTCATGAGTGCTGTTTCTTTTATGAATCATTCATTTTGTCTATGACTACAGCCATTTTATATTGACAATGCATCTTATCATAGATCACAGAACAATGACATTATAGAATTACATCACTTAATATTACCTGGCCTCGCATCACAGACATCTGGCCGTCAAAAGTCCTTCTGTCAAAACCTTTGTCAGTCTAAAATACAACAGGTATTTAATGAGAATTACCTCTGATAATGTATTTGATGATGGTTCAGGTAACAGATAACAGATATGTGATAAGTTTAAAAATATACAACAAATCTTCTGAAATCAAAACCATTATGTACATCCTTACCATAACATACAGAAATCAAACCAAGAAACATCTTACCAAGAATACAATCAGACTGAAATGCTTGTGCACAACGACATAAGAAACCGATTATTCATGCAAAGTTCCATTGAAATCCACCTGTTAGTTAAGGAGGAGTTGCACGGACAAGTATTTCGCACAAAGGGGCATAACTCCATAAAAAGGGTTGAAATCCCAAATTAAAATGGCGGCGTACAACTACATAAGATACCAATCATTCATGCAAAGTTTCAATGAAATCCACCTGTTAGTTAAGGAGGAGTTTCCGGACAAGTTACTGCGGAAGACAGACAAGACATCCTGACATCCTGACATCCTGACTTGGTGATTCCAGTAGACACCCCCCCCCCCCTAACTTCATTGCGGGGGTATAAATATGCAATTTTACAAGATAAAACATAGTTTTACCAAATCTTAAATATTCCTTGATGTTTTTGCCTTAGCAAGTAACCTTGCAATTCCAAGTACTTGTCAAGTGAGGAAAACCCTATTATAGTGTAATCATACAACTACCTGTGACACAGCTGCAGTGAATACAATATATGACATCATAGAAAGTTTGAAGTTACCTTAAATAATTCCCAGAGGTCATCACACAGATCCTGGACGAAGTTCATGTCTGATAATTGGGGCAGGACAAGATCCCGGATCTCGTCAGAGAAGGGTACCTTCGCCTGGGGTAGCCACGCCCAATGGTAGGGATCTAGAACACAAATCTCATGTCTCAACTTCACATTTTCAATTATAAACAGACTTGAGCAAAATTTCAAACTTTATTATGTCAAAAATACATCAAATTTAACAAAGAATTTACTACACTGCATAGTACAAAACTATATGTATAACATCCTTCGTTCTTCATTCACTGATCCTTCTGGATAGTAGATTTTGCACCTAACCTACGGTTTTTAACTATTTGTTGATTATACAGGGAAAATATCTCTTATTCTGACTGATAAACTAAAACTGCACCCTAACAACATGGATAGCAATGTGGGGATAAAAATTAAACATAATTTAATTAGAAATATGCTAACCTTTGACCTTTATTTAACTGAAAGTAAATCAGCTGCCACTTTTCTGCTTTTTTGCTGTAATATAAACACTATATATACAAGAGGCCCATGGGCCTTAACGGTCACCTGATATATTTATACAGAGAGTTGATTTTGTTTTTAACATGAACAGAAATATTATTCAAAGTGACAAAAAACAATAAAACCACCTTACTCAATATCTAGCATACAGATTTCAGACTAAAAAGGATTTGAAACTAGCACCT